TGATAATATTTTGAAAATTTTGATAAAAAACGCACTCAGGTTAGCTAAAAATTTCTAATATACAATAAACTCTCAATAGCTTAAATTTTCTGCACGAAAGAAAAAGCAACGTAAGATAATTTGGTTTGTTATTATTGGTACGTGTTATTAATATTCTATCTATAAAAATAAACGCGTATTATTCTATTGTTTTAACGCCGATTGAAAAATTACCAAAGTATTTGGCATAGTTGCTGCTAAATTTCTTCTGGTTTAGAAAACAAATTTTCATAATAATGCATAAGCTGTGTCAGAAGTTGCTAATCTCATATTAAAGTAATTACAATTTTTCCGTTGCCAAGTCCAATACTTCGGGTTAATAATTTTGTAAAAGTTATTAATAACACTTTTAACTTATTAAAAATTTTGTTTCTAGTGAGCATGTGTTGCAATATTTTATCTATGTGCCGCTAAAAATCGAGCATCGATGTCTCACAAGCGAATGAAATGGAACGTTGTGTGGATACTTTGCGCGAGTCATTTTACATCCATAATTCTGCGTTCTTGGTCCCGAGGAGAAAAGACAAGTGAACGGACTTGCAATATGTTGCATGTGCGATTTACTTAGTATCACTCACAGGAATCGGTTATTATTGTGTATCGTAAATAGCAATCAATTAACTGGTCAACCTTGTTTGAAACTTTCAATTTTACTATGTCGTCGCATAACTTTTTTTTTTTCACTTTGTTTGGTTCACAAATGAAATTTGCGCTTAGATTCATGTGTACTTGATGCACAAGAAACGATTTTCAATTTGGTCAATTTTTAAATTTTTGGGAATGAACATGTTAATGTATGCACATTCATATTAGTTAAAAATTTTTTATTGCCTTCGGTGTGATCTTCCGAATAACGAGTAAATTTACAAATGTCTAGAAAACTTCGGATATGGTTAACTCGGAATTTAATAGACACTTTGGTATATCGGGATATTTCCAACAGGTTTTGGCAGCGTTCTGGAAAAATAGTTTGCCACATGTAAAAATTACGCCAATAATCACGTGAACGTTTATCTAGGTTTATTTTACTAGTTTTATAAACCTCAGCTCTTATTATTGTTTGCTTAATTCTGATCTCCTTGTTAGGTAAATATATACGATGGGCATTATCATAAAATAGGACGAGCCGATTCCCGAATTCACTTTTGCGCCGCTTTTCCAATACATTAGTTCCAGCGTTTTTTTTATTGTCCCCGCACGATTTGCAATAATAACCAAATCGTCTATGTGAAGTTTGAACATCTTGCGTTTGGATGTTTGAGTACTTTTTACTAATATGATTACATTCTACTGTAATTTATTATGCATTTGTTTACCCTGATAATTACCTATTTTGTAGAGCAAGCATCATGCCATGATGCTAATAAAAAGCTAGAAATACAAATATGGCAATATTTATCTTTTTTGTGAGAACGTATACACAATGAATATCATAATCTTTTGGCTTACCTGTCATTCTGTGTAAATCAATTCAATTATATATCGACACTACTCCTGCATATTTAAAATACAGTTGCCCTTTACGTATTGCTTGACACGTGAGCAAATCGCAAAATCAATGCTTTTGATGTTTCACAAGGGACCTTCGACGACGTTGCCCCTTATCCATTATTAAGATGTTGTAGTTTTACTCATTGTTAGGATAATATAACCGAGTCGTAATTAGAAGTATATATTACTGTGAACGCAACATTTATAGATACAAACATCAAGTACGCATTTGGCGTTCATTTGAAAGACAAGGGGTGTGAAGTTTCCAACGGGGAGTGAACAAACGTTTCATCATTGAACCTAACTGCGTTGAAAAGCATATGGGGTTGCTTGATGTTAAGCCTTATATTTTAACATTCGCATGTTAGGTAGGGGACATATCTGACTTGTCTATCATTCTATATCCTTAATTGACAGCTTGCTCTGTGCGTTTGCGATGAGGGGGACTTCTAATACAGTTTATCCGAGTCCGACTGTATTATTATAGTTAGCTATATGCGTAGTTTGATCTGCTATTGTTCTAATGCATGAATGATGTCGTCTTGCTTGCATTGCTTGCATTGTCATACAATCGATTGTAATTGTAATGCCTTTCGTTCGAATACATTGTCAATGTTGTACACTATTTGAATACGTATCGTTTTGCATCCGTACAGTTTTTCCGTAGTAACCGAGATCTCGAATGTATCAAACTGTGTCGTAGAGAATTAAATGGATGACAAGATCGTCACTTTATTTGGGAAAAGCCTTTGACCTGTTGCCGTTTTAGTACTCTATGATTAGCCAACACAATTGAGAACGCACATGGTCCAAGTTGGATTAATGGATAGCCACATGCAAGGCAAAATTGTCACATTATTAATCTCAAACATGTTCAACCTTCTGCGTGCAATAATTAAAAAGAACCAGGGGAAAAACAATGTAGCGCAGAGTCTAATTCATTAAGAGGCGGCATGTACATCCACAGTCAGAGCAAACAATACAAATTTGTATGTGAAACTATCAAAATTACATTTAATAGTCAATGACGCTAAAACGTCATGAATAGCAATTTTCGATTACTAAAAAATATTGAAAAAAATTATGTAAGACATTAAAAACTTTTGTAGCTTTACAAAACTGTATAAAGTTTCTGGTATGAGAATAGAAGGCATTTCAACGTTTATGATGTTTAAAGTTTTATCAAGAGCATGAGTTAAATAACAAGTTACAGGCTAGCTGCTTACGCTGGAATAAAGATCCTTCCTCGGACAGGCTTGCATGGATTTGCTTTCTTTATCCGATTACATCTTTTAAATTTGACATTTATTCCACGCTGACTCGGTGTAGCATCTTGATCAATAGAAGTCAAACTTATTCGTATCATCACAGCATGCCATAAACCTGCATGTTTCGGCTTTTAGTAACAGCAAACAAAAAACTTTGAGTAGACGCGTAATGTAAGATGTCGATCACTTGACGTTTCGTCTTTTAAGCATTAGTAATTTTATGATGCAACTTTAATCTTAGTTACGTAGGTTACTTTTGTTATTAAAAGCAAGGCAATTTATTATTTATTTAATATGGGAACTTTAACTCAAATAGTAAATAGTTGCTTGATTATTTGTCATAAACAGTGCAACTTACGTAACTGATGCTATCCAAAAAAGGTTCGAACATCATGAGTGTGTAAAATCATAAACATTATTTAGTGGCACAAGAAATAATCTTAGCACCGATTATTCTCGATGACGAAAAAGCCAACTCTGTAGATTTTCATATGGCTAACCATAGTGCGTAGAACTAAAAGTTTGGTTAGCAAAACCAGTTAAAGTGATGTGGAAAATAATATATAACTATATTGATATCTACTGCTTTTCCGCCCCACATTTTGGTATACTGCGCCTAATGGGCGAAAGGTGATCTACATATTGTGTGTTCTCATCAGTAACCTCTTTACCAGATTTGGTAACATTTAAATTACTAGATTTGGTAAAGGATATAGTTAGAAAAAATAGCAATTTTCTTTTATTTGATACGTCATCTATATCAAATATCATTTTTTTACTAGCTAGAATGGCCGGTCAAAGCCTATTATGGTACTGTACATTAATCATGGTACTCCTCTAGCACTTGGGGAGGTAAATTACCTTCCCCAATCTATTGCTAACTTTAGTAAAATACCGACTACTAAATATGGTGGGGAAGTAACTGATGAAAACGCATATTATTTGGGAAGGTTTGGCGTTAACATTTAAACACTCTAAGCCAAAACTAGATATAAATTTGCCGATCAATTAACAATATGTCGTAGACGAGGCACAGGGCCAAAAGAATCTTCACATTGTTCGAATATATTTTGCCGTAGAGCAACGTGGAACGTCCCTATTAGAGGCTGGAAAATATGTGGCAAAAACGTATGTTTAAGTAATCTTTTTGTCATTTATATACACAAAACGCGGATTACCATTTTCAGCACTTGCGCCTCATCAAAGCATAAAATGGTTATTTTTATAATGAGCGTATGCCATTCATTTCAAGTCCATATATGCATAATAACTCGGGGTTAAAGTCGGAAAGAAAAAAGACCAGAACGGTGGAGAGAGATAGATCGATTTTCTTTGTTCATCTCTTTAAAGAAACTCATTTTCTCAAGGGTCCAATAATACTTGTTTCTCTATACATTAGTGCACGAATCTCCCAACAAGGAATGTTCCCTTGCCTCAGTTGTGCTCATTTAAGAGTTGATGCTAATTTCATTGGCTTTTCTTGTGGAGATACGAAAGGGCAGGAGGATGATACGCTTAAACCGATGTACTTCGTTGTCTATCTGGTCATTGGCTCCAGTAATTAAGTACGAAAGTATGACATGGGATCACATGTGGAAAATTTTTGCGCGACATTTGCTCTTTAAACATATTTTTCCCTCGCAAGATATGTTCCTTTTGTTGATTAAATTAGAAATTTTCGTGTCACTGAAGTTTCTTGTGGCACTATGCAGTATGCCTTTTTAATCTTGTAGATCGCAAACATCAGACTTGACCGAATATGTATGTACATAAATATTTTATTCAGATCACACTCCATAATCCCAAAGAACAAATTTCGAAGAAGTTTAAAAAAAAATAAACACTAAAAGCAATTCGTCTTCACACTAACAGCAACAACAGGAATTATACATGACACTACTACTTTTTACTCGAATGTTAGTATCTACATAAGAAAAAAAAGCAAATCTATACGATATATGTAGAGATTATATAAACAAATAGTATTAATACTGCCAGAGTGAGAAATTAGGATAACATCCCAATGTCGAATTTATCGCAGGCTATGTGGTAACTGGCTACCAGAGTCAATTGTCCGTTTACTCTTTGTTATTTCACAAAGATCTATATCTCCTACTCTACTCAACACAAATACAGAAAAAGCAATAACAGAAAATAAAACATAATAAACCACCAAAATTAGCGGGTTCCCATTAATACAATTCAACCTTTCAATTTCCTATGAAGTCTCTTTTCCTCTCCTTCACTTTTCTTAGTTCTAATTGTGCTTCTCCTAAGACTCTCTTCAAGACTGTCAACCTCAACTTTCACTTCCACACTTTCTTCCTTTATCTCTACAGTTTCGTCTCCACTCGAACTACTGCCCCGTCTATTATCGGAACCATTTTTAGTTTCTACGGACGGTTGCCTTCTATTTGGTAACGTTTTAGCTTTCTCTAAAAAGTCTGGTGGCAACAGATTGTCCTTGACTTGCGACAGCGTTTTATAGCAGCTGTTTAATGTCGCATTAACCACGCCAGCAACTTGTGCCACATCCTTTTGTTCAAGCCGAATGAATTCATCATCTTCAAGCGACCGATTCCAGTGCTGTGTCCTGGCCTCATTCCACGAGTTTACAGAGAGCCAAATGGCTGCTGCCCCAACAGATAACGGACATTTGCCCGTCGTGATGTTTTGAACGTTGGCTTGCTTGTAAACGTGTATTGCCGCGTCCAAAATGTGTGATTGGAGTCTAAGATGTTGACACCAGCGTTTCTAAATTAAATAAATGTTAGAACTGTTTATGAAAACACCAAACCTAATAGGCCACCACAGTAATTTATACTCACCAAAAACTCGGCAGAATCCACCATTTTGTTCGGTCCGTTTGCTCCGACACTCAAACCATTATTTGTCAATAATTTGTTCATTAAACGATAATAAGCCCCAATCTCTTGCTTCCTAATCCCAGCTGCACTACAGATTTCCATAAAAGTTCGCGGTAATCCGTGCTGTCTACACAGAATGTATAACAATGAAGCCAATATATGATTTTTCTTCCGATGCGGTTGGCGATTCTTCATCTCTTTGAACTGCTTGACTCGCTCAAACAAGCATATAGTTTCGGCCCAAATATATGAAGGAAGATCAATGTTTTTTTCCCATTCGATCTTGTCAAGCTCGAGCTTCTCGTCCGATAAATCTTTCAGCGTCGATTTCCTACGCGTTTGGCCGGGACGTTTTGAAGATGAGGTGGAAGTTGACGTAGAATTCGAAGATGTAGTAGGAGGAGAAGAAGTGGAAGAGGAAGAAATGGCATTAAGGGATGAACTCGGTGACATGACAGATTCGTGTGGTTTAGAATCGGTGCTCGTAATTGATGAATTTGATCCTTTGCGAGATAACGATGTAATAGTAGCGTTGGAACTTTTTCTCGTAGGTGATGCAAACGTTTCTTCATTTACCCCACTACGTTCACCACTCTCGCAATCTTTGGAATCGATATCCAGAGGACCATCATCTATAGACAATGCACATTCTTTAGGCGAGGAAACCAAGGGCTTACCCTCAGTAACAATCCCAGAAGCATTAGAACTGTTATAAATCTGCGCATTCAACATTGGAAA